GAATGACACTTAATGACAGTTGTCATAAACATGCATAAAAAACCTTCATATTCATGATATGTGTCATGTCATAATTATGTAGGTGTCATGTCATGATTATGAAGGTGTCATGTCAGTCTTATGCACACCCCTTCAAGTAAAGTGTAACCCATTTATTTTACTAAACTTGCATTTTGTGCCATGCATTATTGGTTCTGTGGCAAATTGCTTCTGATGTTCTTTATTTGTCTGTCTGTTAAATAAATACATGTATAGCCTGTTTAGGTATACTTGATTGCTAAACTCAAGCAAACCTGTTTAAATAGATAATATTAAAATGAATGTTACAGAGCAAAATATGCTGCAGGACATTTTCATAACATAAAAAGTGTTGAAGTACATACCGTATTGGCCTGAATATAAGACGACCCTGATTATAAGACGACCCCCCTTTTTCCAGATGTACCTTTTGGAAAAAGGCTTTTTAAAAAACAAATCTTGTTTTTTCTCAGTAAAACACATTTTGTCTTCAATTATTTTCATATTGCATATTTTTCCTATTTTCATTTTTGTTTTGAAAGTATGGTAAAAACTGGTCAAATGCACCAACAAGAAGTTAGAAGTTAAATCTTACTGTCGTCTTCAAATCTGGGTACTGTCTTACGTTTTAAAATCACAAAGAGAGTTTGGTTCCATCAGGTTAACGTGACAGTCACGACTCATGCAGCTGTAAGCTTTTCTTTCTCTTTTGTTTTTACTCGCGATCTTTACAACATGCATTACATATTTCACGGCACACTGGTTTTATGAGTATTTGGTGCCACCTATTGTTGTGTGTGTATTATTGACACGTCAAAGTCTAGACCCTGAATATAAGACGACCGCGTTTTTTCAGATGCATTTCCAAGAAAAAAACATCGTCTTATATTCGGGTCAATATGGTATTTGAAAACTAAGGTATGTTCTTAAGTCTTCTCTTTCTGAAAATGTCATTGTTTAGCTCAATAAGATACAAAGGCAGAACAATATTGTCACGTTTACGACTGAAAATGAGTAAACTAAACAACACAACACAACACAGGTAATACCACTGAGGATGAGCAAACGAAACAGCATGTTAAACACACCACTACAAACAAACACAGCCTATAACGACAAAGACTAAAGAAACCGAAGGGTTTATGCCACATTCGAAACAAGGTTTGAAGTGGGAACATCAGAGTAGAAATGTCTACCCCTGTGGCGAGGGGGGCGTGGTTCAGCGAGGTCTGCAGCAGGAGAGAGAGCAAAGAGTATAGAAGACCAAGAGGCGAAACTCAGTAGAACGTTCCATTGCAACAGCGGCGCTCAGCAGCAGCCCTGCACTTCCGCCATTTTGGGGTGAAAGCGACTCAGCAGTACACTAGCTTCTAGCTGCCACTATGGCAAATATCAACTGCTTTGTTAAAAAAAACGCACATTAAAGCTGAAATACAGCCTGAACGATGACAACAATATCGTACAATCACTAGAGTAGTGATGATCAAATCCTTTTAACAGTTTATTTTAAAGTCTTCCCTTTTTTACACAAAGCCTTTTGCTCTCTAGAAACCATGTCAGTTTCGGTTGAAAATATTTTAAGTTCAAGTGTTAGCATTATTAACACTGAATTAATACCAACATATGAAATTAAATTAATGACAGAAAAATTAGGAATGTTGGACAATAAATATATAACAGGAATATAACAGCTTGACAGTAAACTGTTTTTGCAGTATTGTCTTACATTAATGTCAGTTAAAGGAAGACTGTAAACAAAAAACAAAAAAACACACACGTACAGCCACTTTCTGCAAAATTGTTTAATTATTTAATTATGACAGACACAGCATAATCACAGTTATAATCTAGATCATCATGTTTGTAGTGTATTCCAGGGGATTAAAATGTACAATATTTCAGACCTAGTGGAGTAACAGTAAATAATAATATAGTAAGCAATTGTAAATGTGTAAAGTTGCATAAGCTCATTACTTAGCCATATAAATCATTATTATGGTTTCTATGGCTAGGACCTGCAGTTCCTACAAGGATTTAAGTTTACTACTAAACTAAAAACAGTTAAAGTTAGCAGGTGCATAAGACAGCGCTACGTCCCACTTCATAACATACAATATTTTACACTTTTGTGAATAATCTCCTGTCAGGGTCTTTGGGAAAACGATGAAAGGCAAGATTTTTACTGTCACACTGATAGTTTTTGCAGTGGATTGCCCAACATTGCGTTCTTTTATTCCACTTTGACCTCTCTTTCGTTGTTATTCTGTCTATTTCTGTATATCTGTGCTGTTGTCCAGTTGGAATTTTCACCCCAAAATGGCGGCTGCGCTACCGAAGCGCCACCTAGTGGCTGTTACCCAAAAAGCATCAGAGTTTCACCTCTTGGTCTTCTATACTCTTTGGAGAGAGTTGGGAAGGTGAGTAAGTGGGTCTAGTGCAAATGACAAACACCTGTGTCTTGTTTCAGGAATTGGCGTGGAGAGACTGCATAAAGAGACCGGGGAATGAGAAGCTGACAGTGAGAGACAGACTGCTGACTGGTGTATGTGTGTGTGGAAACCTTTTGCTCTGGAGAGCCCCAAGTATATTGCTTATGCACTGTGTTATATTGAGCGCTGGTTGCGTGACGTTCTGTTTGTTTACTGAATCTCCTTCCTGATCTCTGACTTTGTTACACTGGTGCCGAAACCCGGGAAGGAAGCTGGAGAGCCATCATGCAAACTCCGACAAGTACGCCATTTGCGGATGTCATCTCATCCATCGCGGTCCTACATCAAGCGTTACTGGATATGCGGAGTGACCAGGAGCGTCACTTCCAGGCCATTATCCAGGCGCAACAGGAGGACCACGAGAGGTTCCGGAGCTGGATGGACCGGGAGGTTCGGGCAGAAGCAGCAGCTCAGCAGACCCCACCCACCCACCTGCCGCTGAACAAGATGGGGGCTCAGGATGACCCTGAAGCCTTCCTGGATCTTTTTGAAAAAACAGCAGAAACCTGTGGGTGGCCACGAGAGCAATGGCTGGTGCGCCTAATACCGCTGTTGTCTGGAGAAGCACAGGTGGCTGCTCAGCAATGGCCCGTGCAGAACCTCCTGGTCTTCGATGATCTCAAAAGAGCCATCATCCAGCAGGTTGGCCGAAGCCCAGAGCAACATCGCCAGCGGTTCCGTTCACTGGACCTGGGCAAGAGTGGCCGACCCTTCGTGATGGCACAACAGCTCCGGGACTCATGTTGCAAATGGCTACTGGCTGAGGGAAGCGACGTCGAGCACATCATCGACTGTGTGGTACTGGAGCAGTTCATCACTCGTCTGCCGAAGAAGACGGCAGAGTGGGTCCAGTGCCACCGACTGACGTCACTGGACTCAGCCATCCAATTGGCGGAGAATCAGATGGTGGCGTGTCCCGGGGTCGGCGAATCCCTTCCAGCTGTCTCTCTCTCTTCCCCTTTATTTTCTCCCTCTCTCCCTGCCTCTCGACCTGTCCCTCTCCACAGGTCCCGTCCTCCACAAGCCCAACCCCGAGCCCAACCCAGAGCTCCTCCCAGGGGGATCACGGCTGGGACCGATACAGCATCCGTTTTCCCGCTCTCTCTACGTCAATCATTTGGCCCACTATTGGGGAGGTCTGGGTCGGCCTGTTGGCATAGCGGGGACCTGGAGCATTTTATTGACAGGTGTCCCATGATGGAGACGGGGACAATGATCCGGGTCCCGTATCCCCCGCAGGCTGCCCCCAGTCAGGCTGGCTGGTACCAAATACCAGTAAGTATTAAGGGGGGTACCTACCAGGCTCTGGTGGATTCAGGATGTAAACAAACCGCTATCCATCAAAGCCTGATTCAGCCCGAGGCATTGGACACAAGCCGCTTAGTTCAGGTACAGTGTGTGCACGGGGACGTGGTGAAATATCCTTAAATGTCCGCTGTTATTCAATTTAGGGGACAAAATCATAGTCTGCGAATGTTTTGGAAAGTGCTACGCCACGTTTTTGTGCCATCTAGTGGTTTAGATGATAATAATATCAAAGGCTCCTTTTACCCTGGGGCGCCTTTAGCCCCATTGTACCCTACCTTTTATGTTTAGGTGCCTTTCAAAACTCTCAAGGACACCGTACAACATAAAAGGAAAGCAATAAAATACAAAACATCATAACATATTTTAGCAGTAGCGAACTGTGACTCTAGAACCTAGGCCATCTCCCCCTACCCTCGTCGGGGGGAAGAACAAACTACCAGCCTAGCTTACGGTGTCCTCATTTAAAAGTCATCTTTGACAATTCCACCTCTGAAATAAGAGGCTATTCCAGCCTTAAAGGGGTCATATGATGCGATTTCAATTTGTCCTTTCTCTTTGGAGTGTTACAAGCTCTTGGAGCATAAAGAAGATCTGTAAAGTTGCAAAGACTAAAGTCTCAAATCCAAAGAGATATTCTTTGTAAAAGTTAAGAGTCAGCCACTCCTACCTAAAACGGCTCATTCTAACACACCCCCACATATCTACCTCACTATGTGGGAAGATTTGCATAAAGCTGCCCAAATGTTCACGCAAAGAAAGAAGGCGTAACTTTTATTCTCACTGTAGTATTGTTGCCGCTGCCGCCATTTCGTGAAGACGCTGTGTGCTTCGTTGTGAAAGTGAAACTACTTTCAAAAGATGACGATATCTGCTTTGTCATGCCTAGAGCTGATCTGTGCTGGTCACTGAGGAAATACTACAACTTAGTGCTGTGGATCGCCGGATCGGCTTTCACTGTGGACAAAGCGGAGTCCAGCCTGGGTTCGTCACATGTGGTTGCCGCTCCTTCGTCTGATCCGCTGACCACACCGTTCTCGACCCCGCCGCCTCTGCTCACTCTAGCCTGGCCTCAGCTCACGCTAAGCCGGGGCTTCGGCTCACGCTAGGCCACTGTGTTTTTCGTTATTAAAGCGAAACTACTTTGTTTGGCCTTCCAAAAGAGGACACGACTACAAATCAGTGGTTAAGTTGTATTTACAACACTTTTCTAGAACAGTTTAACCCAAATATCCAGATGTGTGCAGCACATTTTATGGAGGACTGTTTACTGATCCTGGAAGAGTTGACTACAATGCCGGCTGTTCTGACTTCATAACTTTTCATATTTAAAGAGTTTGCCACTGATGATTCAAACACGAGTTTTGGGCAGTGTAGAGTAGCACTTGTTGTTTGTCATTTCTCCGATCACAAATGCAGACAGGGTTTTATGTTTACACGGTGCAATGCAACGCAACGCGTAAAAAGACAGTATAAGTCATTGTAATCAGTAATTATGTCCCCACTGGATGCAACAAATGCCTCGTTTGTAATGGGTTTTAATGTTTTTGTCTCTTCGCTCCGGCCGGGGCACGGCATCAACAGTATGGTAAGGGGCGTAACATTTCCATCTCACGCTTAAGGTATTCGGCCAATCACAGCTTTTTCAGACCGATGAGCTTTGTAAAAATCTACGTGTTTCAAAAAGGCGGGGCATAGAGGAGAAACAATGTACAGTATGTGGAAAATAATGTGTTTTTTAACTTTAAACCGCATAAACACATTTCATTACACCAAATACACAAAATAATGTTCTTTTTAGCAACATCATATGACCCCTTTAAGGCAGTCGCACACCGGAGGACAAGTGCAGCTCTGCATTACGCTGCACCACGTCTTTAATATTCACACACATTGTTTTCTATGATTGCACGAACACCGGCGACGCCACCGGTGACTGTCCGCGGATCCCAGCTACGACTCTGGGTGCTGTTCATAATCCTGCCGCGCCACAGAGCGCCTCAGTGCCACTCACATCATTTTCATTCATTATGTACATCAAATCATTGTTAATGTACATAATGACTTCATCCTAGGCAGGACGTTTGTGTATTGTGCATTTTTTCAGCAAAACATTTGTCTTTCTGTGGCTCTAATAAATTTTATGATTCATTTAGTGAGCTACAGATCGCAATTTCTCATCCCGTTTGCTGTTTTTTTTGATCCCCGAACTTTAAACTCATTGACATCACTTGCTCATTCTTGAAGTTAAGTTTTGACTGTTTTGGGAATAGATTAAATGTTTTGGACTGCCGTCTTGAACTGACGGTGTGCCACAGCGAGAGTGACTGATATTACCACAATAAAACAGCTAAATTGAAGTCAAATGCAAATCCTCATTACAAATGCATCATCACACAAAATATACAGACACTCAATCCCTCTTACCACACAAAACCAACAAATGTAATGTGTTTAAGACAATACACCATGAGAGTGCTCACAGCAAATTAGCGACGGACACTTCAAGACAAACAAGCAGTGTTTAAAATAAATATCATTGGTGCTGTGTGTGTGGCCCAGTAAATGTCCTTACTTACGTTATTTGCGGCTTCCATCATGACGTGAATAATAGCTAGTTTTATCAGCGTATATATTTTTTTCCGATAGAGATCCCACAGCGGGCGGAACTTGTCATAAAGTTAGTGATAACAAGGCCCGCCCATTTAGAGAAAAGATCAATTTTTCTGTCATTCGAAATTACTCTGCCATTGATTTACCATTGCTTGGCCCTCTGTAATTTCACAGCTGGAACTCCAATCACAGAGCCGCAGACACTAGGCGGAAACATTCAAATATGGAGAAAATGAGCGGTGTTCATAAGTCCATTCACTGAATAGGCAGATTTGGAGAAGTTGTTGTTTTTTTGTTTTTTTTAGAGAAATTATATTTATTTTATTTAGATGATGTTTGTCTAGTTATGAATTGCTTAAATAAAATTTGTAATAACTTTTTTTATTTAAAATACTATATTTTAAAACATTTATTAAAAAATTGTAAATATTGTTTTTACAATAAGTTAGGCCCCCTCTCTGAGGGCCTAGAGGGCCCTGACGGTTCCCCACTTTATTTTAGATGGCAAAAAGGTCTATATCCAATGATCCCTTTATTTATTTTTTTCTTGCTGAGCAAATACTTTTCTATGTTGGACAGACATTTTGGCCACTTGAGCAAAAACATTCTTTATACTAGACCTGTACAGCGCACACACACACACACACACACACACACACACACACACAATTGTGTAACTTTTAACTTTAATGTGCTATTTATATTTGATTTGATCTTTGATGTAACTAAATAATGCTCATTTTAGGTTATCTGAGAAAACATTTTTTTACAGTTACCAATACATTCTATAAAAATTCATAAAAAAAAATCAGAACAGTTAAATTCTTTGTAATAATATAGTATAATATAATATGAAAAAAATAAAGCAGATATTGCTCATGAATTCCCTTTTTGAGGTCAATTATTTATTAGGAATATAATATAATATAAGATAAAAACAAACTGAAGCATTTAAACTGAGATCTGTAAGCTAAATGTTTTCAAAAAACGTGAGCATGTGAATTCTTATACAGTTATCTAAGAAGAGTTTAGAGTAGTAGAGTTTGCACACTACTA